GCACTAGGCCGAGGCCTCCTGGGACCGTCTTGGGGCTATCTTGGGGACTCTTTCGGGGCTTCTTTAGGTCCTACTGGGGCCCGCTTGTGCCATCGTGAGACTTTCTTGGATCGTCTTCGAGCGCTTTCGCGCCATGTGGCGCTTTCGGAGGCCATCTTTGAGGTTTCTGTGGGTCCTCTTGTGGGCCGTAGGGCCTTCTGGAGTTTTTCTTGGGCCGTATTGGGGTCAAGTTCGGGCCCTCTTGGGTCCTCTTCTTGGGAGTCTTCAGGCCAGTCTTGAAGTTGAAGTGAGATTTGGAACCTAGTGGGCCGTCCTGGGTTATCAGAAGCCCAAAGCGAGAACGCGAAGACCATATGCAAATTTTTGGATGCTTCGCTTATTCCCACCAGCCAGTTAGCACCTGGCCTTCACTCGCTACAGTGTTTGTGCGGATAGTGCTTGCAGGGCACTCTGACGCGGCATGGCACCTACACCGTGGTGGACTGGCGCCGCGGCGTTCAGTTCGTAATTCTAAGGCACTTTGCCACAGGTCTGCTCGATGCATGAGCTTCCCTGGGCGTTGCAGTTCAGCCTGTCAGCCCCCTGCCGCTGCTGCTTTCCAGCTGCCGCTTCTGAGTGCTGGCCCGGCCGGCTTGCGTTGCGCCTAGTAGCTAATTAGGCTGGCCCGTCGCCCCGGACCCCCTTTCGCCGCCTGCCCTCTGCTGCGCGGCCGCGACCCCCCCCAAAAAACTTATTCCCACCAGCCGATCCAGGACTGATCCCGAGGAGCGACGACGACGACCGGACTCAATCGCCAGGGCCTTCGCGGGTCTTTCGCTCTGGGAGCCTTTGGAAGCCTCTTGGGGCCATCGTGGAGATCTCTTTGGGTCATTTGGAATGTTTTTTCGGCTCTCTGGGGGCCCTCTTGGGGGCAGTGAGGGCCTCTCGGGGCCATCTAGCAGGCCATCGGTCCAAACCGTTGGGGCACTAATGAGCCCTACCCTTGTCAGATGCCGAAGCGTAGCTTTTTGCGGCCCTTTGGGGGCGCTCTTCGGTCGCTCTTGGGCGTTATTGGGACCTTGCTGCGGCTATCTAGGACCACCTCGGAAATTTAATCTTGTGGACCCGGAAGCCTTTCGGAGACGAAAAGGCCAGAAGGCATGCATCACTGACTTGCCTTCGGTTTTGGACAGACGTTGGTCTCTAGTGGGCATCCTTGGGAGGCTCCGTGGTCACTTGGAGACGTCTCGGGGCGGCCTTGAAACACTTCGGAAGCACGTCGAAGGTGAGCGTTTTCTCACTCGGAGCTTCGACGTTGGGCGGAAGGGGGGGGCTGGCTCCGGACCTCTGCTTAATGCGACTGTTGGCAGCAGTGCGTCCTGTGGGGGAGACTCCGCCTGCCTGGAACAGGCGCCCAGAACAGCCAAGATCTACTCCATGGGGGGGGCAGGGGGCCCGCGCCGATCGGCAAAACACTGAACAAGAAAACGGTCACAAGGACATCTTGCGCCACCTTGAGCTGAGCGTGTCCGGACTGGGGGCTCGCGACGGTGCCGCCACCCCGCCCCCTGGAGGAAGTGAATGTGTGTGTGTGTGTGTGCGTTTGTGCCCGGGTGTGCGGGTGGTCATGCCCGGGTATGCGGATGGCACGGTTGATCCATGCCTGGATCCCTGCCCCGTCTCCTCGAGGAGCTGCCCGCGCGCGCTCTTCGTGTCTCTCTCTCTCTCTCTCTATCTCTCTCTCTCTCTCTCTCTCGGCTTGACCTTCTACGCTTCGTCGCTGCGCGCGAGGCCGCGGCGCCAAAAAGTAAGTGTGTGTGTGTGTGTGCCCATGTCTTGCCAGCCCCTGGTCGTCCTAGTTCTGGCCGGCCCTCACCATTTCCTTAGCTTTCGCCCCTCTGGGCCCGGCCGCTTTCTTGCTTTGCTGGCGCGCGCGCGCCCACGTGACTTCCCCACCGGCATGGCGAGTCGTCTGCCCGCTGACGACTGATATATATATATATATATATATATATATATATATATATATATATATATATATATATATATATACACACACACATACCGGGGAACGGTACCTGGGGCCGCCAGATTGGTGCCTCGGACCCCCATGGGGGCCACGGGGCTTACTTTCCCTGTGTTTTTACAGGGTTTCGGCGTTCCAGGCCTCCTCCAGGGCCTCCGAGGGAGGCCGCCAGGAGTGGACCTGCGCCCCCTGGGGGCTCCGGGGCTCACTTTCCCTATGTTTTCACAAGGTTTCCGCGTCCTGGGCCTCGGAGGCCGCCGCCTCCGACCCCCCGTGGGAGGACGGGGCGGCCGGGGAAGTCCAAAATAGTCCAGGAGGGTTCCAGAGGCTCCCAAGACGGCCCAAACGGGCCCCGAGTCGCCGAAAAATTGCTCCAGGACGCCCAAGATAGGCCCAAGACGGCCCGAGAGGCCCCCCAAGGCACTCCACGACGCTTCAAGACGCTTCTCCAGAGCGCTTCAAGAGACCGAAAGTGACAATTTTACGAAGGTTTTCGAACGATTTTGGCCTTCCAGCCTTTTCGGCCGTCCGACGTCCAAGACGGCTCAATAGGCCCCCAGGAGCGCCCCAAGACGGCCCAAGAGGGCCCCAAGACGGCCCCGGAGTCGCCCAAGACAGCTCAACAGAGCCCCAAGACGGCCCCAAGATGCGCCCAAGAGGGGGACCAGGGGACCACGACTCCAAAAATCTACCCTCCCGCTTGAAGAGTGCCCCAGGAGGCCCCAAGGAGCCCCCAAGAGGCCCCAGGAGGCCCCCAAGAGGCACCCAGGAGGCACAAACGATGCCTAAAGAGGCCACATAACAGCCCCGAGGAGGCCCCACAACGGTACGGAGGATCATAATGTACTTAGTGCCAGGGGCCGCGGGCAGGTGGACCGCCGCCTGAGTGGGTATCTCTTCCTGGATACACACGGGTTGGCAGGATATTCTTGGCATGCTAGAGGGAAGGCCCTTGGAGACAGCCGCTCCCCTCAGCCTAGGGCCCATCGTAAGGACAGGCGGCAGCTGCGCTGACTCCGCGTAGTGGCCTTTCTCGCGGAGCGTGCGTGCTAGCTCCGCGTCCTCCGCCTTAGCCAGCAGCACCTGTTCGGGGTTCAACGGGGGGATGACGGCCATTAGGTCCGCCAAGCACTTCGATGAGCCATGCCGAACGTGTTTGAGCAATCTGAGGTGCGTGTGGAAGTTGAGACCACATGCCATGCACACGGTGCCTGAAACGTAGCTGGGGGCGGGGTCTAAGTGGGGGTGGCACTTCGAGCGATGGGAGGCCCATGCGCCCTTGGTGGCCAACGCCGCCCCACAATCCAGGCAGGGATACAAGGCAAGAGCCGACGGCGGACGCAGAAACGGCGGGGGCGCAAGACCCTTGGAGATGCAACACCTCCGCCACCCGTCCTTGAATTCTTCGTGACGCTGATCGTCCAAAAATTTGGCCCTAGCAGCAGATTCCGCTTGCTTGCAGATTCGTTTCAAAAACTTTTTGCTGCTTGACCTCAGGAGCCACAACCACCGCGCAGGGGGCCCCGAAGGCAAGAACTCTCTGGCTTGATTCACGTGTCTGCTGAGCCACAACAGGTCATCGCAACACAATGCGGACCACGATTCGGGCACTGATGCTAACTCGTCGAGGATCGCCAGCAGACAAGCTGGCGCCGATGTGAGAAGCCTGGGAAGAAATCGCAGCCGCCTGAGCCTCAACACCAGCTCAACGGGCATGAGCTCACATGTGCCAAAGACTCTGTGGTCTGCAGCTGCCTTGCCTGAACTAGAATCGTAGCCGAGTCCAGCCGCCATCCTAAACGGGCTGGCTCAAATAGTTGTGCGCCAGGGTCGCCATCTGTTTGACGTTTAACTTGTGCCACGTGAGGGCGTTGAACAGAAGGTGCGAAGTGCACAAAGAAGTAACATAAATTAACCTGGCTTTTAAAGTGACTTGCTTCCTGGGGAAAACTGCGCGCCTCAGTGCCCCCGAGAGGGCGTCGCTGCTGATGGCATCGGTGTGCCAGGTCGGGCCCCCGAGAAATTCGATGGTCCTGATAACTTCCCAAGTGCTTATAGGTTCTAGTGAGGCACAGGGAAACACCCAAGGAAGGGGCGAGAAGACCAGCGGCGGCCAAGGCCGCACACTCCCCCCGGGCCTTTCTGGAGCCTGTGCCGCTGAAGAAGGCCATGAACTCCGTCTTGCCCGCCTTCCAGTTCATGGTGACCCCCCCTAGATTTGGTTTCTTCGCACATAATCGTGACGAGGGAGACGGCCGCCTCCTTCCAGAGCCTAGCGTCTAACAGGTCGATGCCGTTGACGAGGTCATCCATGAAGGCAGGATCCCATACATCTTCCTCTACATGTTCGTGCTCGCGACCTCTGAAAATCAGCTGGGACGGGTCCACATCCCTAGTCTTCTGAAGATACCCCAGAGCTCCTAATCTACTGTTGACCGCGACTATGATTGGGTCGAAGGCTATGATGAACAGGAGGTCCGCTAGTGGCATGCCTGGCCTCGCACCTAGGCGGGGGAGACAACCCTGGTGCCCCCCCGTACTTGGAACCAGTTGCACCCCATCACGTCTACCACTGCTTCCAGGATGTGCTTATTTGCAAGTCCGTCCAGGGCGCCAGGTTTGGCGACTAGGGCATGGCATTGTGGCTCTAGACAGCTTGGTATCTCCAAGTCCGTCAACGTGTTCTGAATGTCCTCGCTGTTCTGGGCCAGTCTGGCAAGGAACCCTCGGATGACCGAATAAAATGCCGCCTTTGGATCAGCGTGCATCGATAGGCATGCGCGCTTCCTAGCCTTGGCTGCCATCATGGCCGACCGAAGATGCAAGGATGCAATGTCAGTGCCACGCTGAGGGAGAGCTCTCTGCTGGACCACCCACAGCATGTGCATCGATGCATCTAGCAATTTGCTTCTGAGGAAGGCATGGTGCAGCTTCGCTGTGTGACATCCCAGCAGGATGCCTCCGCAGTGTTCCAGGGGTTCGGGGGGCCCAGATT